ACAGACAGGACAGTGGAGGGAGAAGGGAGAGCCGTGGGCGGTGCCCGGGGAGGGGTCGCGGGGGGAAGCCGCCCTCTCAGAGATGTGGGTGGTGCCCTGCACGTGGGCGCCCAGGGGCAGCCCCACAAGGACAGACGGGACAGTGGAGGGAGAAGAGAGAGCAGAGCCATCAGTGGCTGGAGGACGGAGGCGAAGCCCCCAGTTCGGGGGGTCAGCAGGCCACAGGGGGTGTGGGCAGGGATAGTCTGGGTCCCTGAGAGGCCCCCACTGCCCGGAGGGCCCTGGCATCAAGGACAACGCCCCGGCAGCCTCGGAGTTGCAGCCCCTACGGCCGCAGCCAGGGCTGGAGCGACAGCGCCCTCGTGTGGCCAAAGGGTGAACGCACAGCAGGACACTGGGCCAGAGGCAGGCGTTTGACAGGAAGGAGAAACTGAGGCTCAGCCAGCCTGAGGTCACACGAGCCAGGGGCAGGGTCTCCTCTCCTTCAGCCCGTGGACTCCTGTAGACCCGCCAAGTGCCCTGGCCATTTTATCACCCTGCCCCTCTCTATTTCTTGGTTTGTTCTGGAGCAAGGAGAGAGACAAACCAGTCGCATCCTTTCCCTGTGGCGCCCTCCCCCGGGCCCCCGGCCCCCGGGGATGGTCAGTGCAGGATCAGGCTGGACCCCCTTAGTGCCTGCTGGGATAAACCGAGGCCACTGGAGCCCTACCTCTCCTCAGGAAACTCCTGCAGGTGGCGCTCCACACGGCAGTACAGCGGGTAAAGGCCCTCGATGTCCAGGAGGTCCAGCATCTGGGCCTGCAGAGTCTTGTAGAGAAGGCAGCCCCTGGGCAGCCCCGAGCCCTCTGCGTGACTTTTCCCTGCAAGGAACAAGGCACGGAACTGGCCGCTGCCCTTCCTGGGCATCGCTGGGACCGTGAGCAGGCAGCGCGGCCTTCGCAGGCCTGGAGAGGCCACCCTGGGAACCCGGGGCCACGCTTCCCTCCTCCCTGCTCCGCAGCCCTCAGACCAGCCCTACTGCCTCCGCGCCCATCAATTCTGTTCCCAAAGCAGGGCCCAGCGGCCCCATGTGCCCGTCCCCCCCGCCCCAGCTTCTCGCCAGGAGCCAGCATTGCTTCTCTCAACCCCGGCCCTCTCCCATGCCCAGAATGCACAGACCCTTCTCGGCCTTGCAGAGTCCCTGCCCTCTCCAAGGTACAGGGCGAGGACCCCTGCGTGAAGCCTTCCCTCCCCCGCACTGGCTGGCGCCTCTCTCCCTAACACCGAGAGGATGTCAGTTCACTTTGGGCGTCTGCACCCTGGGTAACAGGCCCAGGATGTGGCCCTCAGGAGGCACTTAATAAATGCTCGATGACTGACTGCTGCGCTGCCCTGCCTCCTAAGCCTTCCTTTGCACATGGATGAACCACCTTCTGTTTCATAAAGCGCACCAATGAGAAAACAGTGCGATACTCCCAGCGGCCTGGCTGCCTTCACGGTTTCACTGCAGGCCAAGCCCACGAGCATTTATTAATCGTCTGCTGTGGGCCAGGCCCTGTGCTAAGTGCTGGGGAGATGAAGCCAGCCTAAAAGCATCCCTGCCCTCCGGGCCTCAGTCTGGCTCCGCCCAGCTGTCTGCAGAGCCGTTATCAGGGGAAGGTGAGGAGGGTCAGTCCTCATGCCTCACTTCTCCACCATATTCAACTTCGCCCTTACATCCTATGAGGCAGCTGGGTGGGGCAGTGGATAGCACCCTGGGCCTAGAGTCAGGAAGACCTGAGTTCAAATCCAGACACTTAGCAGTTGTGAGACCCTAGGCAAGTCGCCTAAGCACTGCCTGCCTCAGTTTCCTCATCTGTAAAAACCCAGGATACAGCAGCACCTAGCTCCCAGCATGGGTGAAAGGATCAGAGACAGCAACTGTAAAAGGGCTTAGCCCAGCGCCTGGCGGATGGCAGGCACTACATAAATGCATATTCCCTTTCCTTTCCCCTGAAAGCATGCCCAGGTCTTCCCGAGCATTAGAAAAACAAGTACAAAAACTCACTTAACTCAGCGGTCCCTGGCGCTTTTCTTTAATCTAGTTAAACTGCTTAGATGCTTCATCCAAGGCCTCCTACATTCTGGGCATCGTGCAAGATGCTGGCGAGTCAGAAGACACAAATGCAACAGTACCCACCCTCCTGGAGCTTACACGCGGGCGTCCCCGCCCCGATCGCCTCCCTTCAATCTCAATATGTCTGTGTGGGAGATGCCAAGGGGTGATGCTATGAAGCGAGGTCTGGAACCCACTCCGCCAGCTTTGGAAAAGGGAGGCTGGCACCCACACGCACACATGTATACACACACGCACACACATGTACATATACGCACATGCACACACACACACACACACAATGACCACACAAATCACTACCATTCAATCAACAGATACACATCTATTAAGCGCTTACAATGTGCCAGGCATCGTGCTAAGCACTGGGGACAAAAAAAGACAAAGAAATGCCCCTGCCCTTGAGAAGCGCGCCATCTACGGGCGAGACAACCTGCAGCACAGCCGTACTACAAACGAGCTCTACCCAGAATAAAGCGGAGCTGATGAACACTGGGAAGGCCCCGGAAGGCTTCCTGTAGGAGGTGGCACTACCAGAAGCCAGGGAGGTCAGCAGGCCGGTGTCGCCTGATCGAGGAGCACGTGGAGAGTCAGGGGGTAGTAGGCGTAAGAAGCCTGGGCGGGGGGGGGGGCTTGCTCCAGGGGGCTGGAGGCAGGCGCTGAGTCTGCTGATTAGGGGGTTACATGATCAGATCTGAGCTGAGGAGACGTGAGAATTCTCAGGACGGAGCTAGTCCTTAAACCTATAGGGTCCTTACATCCATGCTGAGGTGAGCCGGTGAAGCAGGACAGAGGGAGAAGAGAAGAGAGCCCAGGCCAGGACCTGAGGGACACCCGTGGCTGAGGGCGTGGTCTGGAGGAGCCAGCCAAGGAGACAGAGGGGGTGTCCTGAACACCTGGAGAGAAGGGAGCATCAGGGAGGAGAGAGGGACCCACAGTGACCAAGGCTACAGAGAGGCCAAGGACAACAAGGACTGAGAAGAGGCCTTTGGGGGGGAGGACAAGGACGGAGGCCGGACCCTAAGGGCAAAGGGAGAATGAGGAGAGCGTGGAGGCCCCTGTCGTCGGTGCTTTTACGTGGAGTTTAGCCACCACGGGCAGAAGAGATCTAGCATGGTCAGTGGAGGTGGAAGGGTTAGGTGGTAGGGGAGACCAGAGCATGTTGGGAGGCGGGGAGGAAAGAGCCAGTAGGCAAGGAGAGAGGGGGAGGATGGAGGGGCCCATCTGCCAGAGGGGGCAGGATGGCTGGGGTCACAAGAGCAGGGGGAGGGGTCGGCCTTGGTCAGGAGTCAGGCTGCCTCATCATCCCAGACAGGGAGAGAAGAGTGAGGGGCAGAGGGCGCCTGAGTGATGGAGAAGAGGAGGAGGTGAGAGGGGCAGCTCTCTAGACCGGTGACTGGAGGAGCCGGGGGAGGTTTGAGGAGGTGAGAAGGCCTGAGGAGGGGGGCAGAGCAGGATTGTCGGGCAGCGGTGAGGGCCCGGGGGTGGGGCTGCGAGCGACTCCGGGGAAGAGGATGCTGGCGCTGCCTTGGCACAGCGAGGGGGCAGAGCGTGGTCAGTGCAGGGGAGATGGCCTGGGAGAGAATCCAGGGTGAATGGTGAGAATGGAGGGCAGGGTCACAGTTGGGAAGGCGCAGGTGGGAAAGCCAGTAGATTCTGGGCGGCCAGGGGGATTTTGGAATTCTTGGGTATGGAGGTGGACCTGTGGGTGGTGCAAGGCCAAGGGTGTGGCCGGGGGTGGATAGGCATCAGAAGGAGAATCAATGTGTGCGCTGAAGGCCCCTAGGATGAGGGCGGGGAGGGGGCAGGGTGGGCCAGGCACTGATCTCCTTGAGGAAGGGGAGTGACCTGGGGGTCTGCAGACCACCTTCCTCATGAACCTCAGGGGAGGAGGCTACCGAGTGATGGAGAAAGGCGGAGAACCTCGAAGAGGCAGTGGGGAGGGAACAGGATCATTCCCACTCCCCCTCCTGGTACAGTGGGCTGAGGAGTGAGTGAGGGCGCAGCCAGGACTGCGGGGGGTGGGCAGGGAGGCTGCGTCATGGGGGAAGAGGTCCAGAATGAAGGGAAACCGATCCAGACGGAAGATGCTGATAGACGCCCTCTTTGTAGCAGCAAAGAAGAGGAAAGGAAAACGGACGCTGACCGACGGACGGAGAGCGTGGGTGAAACAACCACGAGACACGCAGGGCCGCCCCCGTGGGCAGGCCGCTCAGGGCGTGGAGAGCCTAGGGTCAGAGCGAGCCTCAGCCGCCAGAGTCCGCACGAACCACGGTGAGGGAGGCCGCCGACCTCGGAGGAGCGCAGAGCCCCGTGCCCGTACTGGGGATGGGCCCCGTGCCCGCACCCTGTGCCCACGCCGGGGATGGGCCCCGCGCAGAGCCCCGCGCCCGCGCCGGGGACGGGCCCCCGGGGGATCAGCCGGTGAGGGGACCCCAGGTGCGGGGGAGCAGGAGCCTTACCGTTCCTCAGCAGCTCTTTACTGAAAGGACTGGCTTCACAGCAGCTCCTCCCCTGCGAGGAGGGGACCAGCTTCATGTCCCAGGCCCGGCACTTGTCGGTGCTGCTGAGCAAGGTCAGCGTGATGACGTGGATGAGCTCCTTGATGATCGTCCTGGTGCAGTGCGGCCCGCTCACCAGCCCGTTGGAGGGGTAAAAGAAGGGCTTCAGGTGGCAGGCCAGCTCGTTCCAATCCGCGGCTGCATCCCGCTGGTCCCTGCAGCCGTATATGAGCTCGCCGTTCTGCCGAGAAACAGAAGGCGCACGCACAGGGTGGAGAAGTGCGCTGGGCAGGGCATCGAGTGCCGCGCACGGCTCCACCGTCGCCCACCGCACTCTCTACTCTCCCCCTCCCCCACTTTGCACACTGTTGGTCTCAGCGGGCTTCAGGCGACACAGACATACATCATTGATCCCATTTTACAGAATGAGGAAGAGTGTGGAGGTCAGTTGGTGGGAGGTGAATGAGCTAAGAGAGGCAGCAGGACTAGAACGTGGGTCGTCTGGCTCAGAGACCGCTAGTGTTTTCAGCTGGCTAATTTTCCCAATGGATACGGTCAAATCATTTGAATGGGACATTTCGAAGGATGAAGTCCAAACAAAGGTGACAATGGAGAAAGATGAGAGAAAAGAGACACGCCAGTGCATTGTTGGTGGAGCTGTGCCCTGGTCCAGCCGTTCTGGAAAACAGTATGGAGGCACTCACTGCACCGCCCTGCAACCCAGAGAGAGCACGGAAGGAGGAAACGGACCACCTGCACACAAACATGGACAGCGGCTCTTTTTGGAAACTGAGGTGTGGCCGTCGATCAAGGTGTAGTGGTGTGATGGAAGACTGTTGTGCTAAAAGAAATGATGGAGGGGACGTCTGCAGCGGAACTGTAACAATGACCAAGCATGATTTCTCCCAAGGCCTGCACTGTAGAGAGGTGCTGGTCCTGAAGTCAGGAAGACCGGAGTTCAAATCTTACTTTAGATACTCCAGAGCAGGGTGACTCTAGCCTCTGCCTGCCTCAGTTTCCTCATCTGTAAAATGGAGACAATAATCATGCCTATTCCCAGCCTTTCTGGGAGGATCAACCTGGAAAACCCTTTAGCACACAAAATAAGCCCTAGGACCGACGCCCAAACGCGCTCTTCTGAGGATGCTGGAAGGTCTGCGGTGTGAGTCAGAGTTGGGAATCTGCTAGACAATCCATGTTTGTTAGGAGGACTTCACTTTGCCTTTCTTTTTCAATGGGGACAGGGACAGAGGTGGATTTTTACAAACAGAAAAAATAAGAAAAGTTTAAATTTTTTAAATAGCTCACTGCCGTTTTCCAGAAATCACAGACAATTCAGTTTTCATGTACATGTGAGAGAAGGAGGGAGGAAGGAAGGAGGAAAAGGAGAGAAAGGAGAGGAGGGAAGGGGGGATAGGGGAGGTCCCTGAATCCAGTGGCCCCCACCTCTGACTACACTACACTGTCCCATGCTTTGCCGGTGGGCCCCCGCCACCCCCACAGCCTGGTCCATTCCCAGGCGCCCCAGAGGCAGCAGGAACCCTGGGCCCTGAGACTGCGGACGTCCCCGGACAGCGTGGAGGGTGAGGGAGAGTCTGCAAAGCGAAGGAGGATCTCAGGGTCCCAGCTGTCAGGAGGGGAGGCGGCAGGCAAAGTTTTCAGCGTGAATTAAGAGAAGCTTCCTCCCAGCTGGAGCCGTGGCCCTTCCTGGGAGGTTGGGGTAAGGCTGAGGTCTGTGTCCAGGACCACTGGGTGACGAAGCGCTCTCTACGTCAACAAGGCCGAAAGGGAAATGGGGAAATAAACAGGCAAAGAGCAAACAAAATCACCTTTGTGCAAACGACAAGATGGCCTATCAGAGCCAACTGAAAAATTGATTGAAGCCATCACCTAAGTTGCAGGATATAAAATAAATCTGCCTCAATCCTCAGCATTTTTTTTTTTACATTACCAACACAATCCAGCACGTAGAGATGGAAAGAAAAAAATCCATCTGAAATACTGGACCGACAGACAGTACAGAGCACTTGGAAGTCTATCTGCCAAGACGTACCCAGGAAGTATCTAGAACTACAAAACACTACACAAGTACAGCCCCTAAAAACAGCACAAGGATTCACTGCTCATGGACAGGCCATGCCAACACAATAAAAACGACAATACTGCTAGCCTCAATCAAACTGCCTAAGCATTATTTTACAGAACTAGGAAAAAACAATAATAAAATTCATCTGGAGGTCTACAGGGTCAAGAATCTCAAGGAAAACTAAAAGAAACTGGGAAAGAGAGGCTACCAGAACCACGTGTTGAACTCCACTACAAAGCACTAGTCGGCAGAACTGTTTGGTACTGGTTCAAAAACAGAAAGGACAACTAGTGGAAGGCCTCAGATACACAACACAGAGAAGCAGACAAATGCAAAAGCCTGGGATGTGACAAACTTGGAAGACCCGGCAAGAAGAACGAGGACTCGCTCTGTGACAAACGTTCTGAGCAAACTGGAAAGCAGCATGGCCAAAGCGGGATCTCACCCACCACCTCACACCACAGAACAAGAGAAGCTCCCCCCGGAGACGGACCAAGAGGCCAGATCACAACAGGGGAGAAGAGCCAGGAAGCTGCCATCCAGACCCACGGAAGAGAGCGAGGATCGGGTGACACAGCGGCACCTGCGATTCCGGTGCAGCTCACATCGGAAGAGAACTGGGGAAAGGCCTCACACCCAAGACGTAGAAGGAAGTGGCTCCATCTGTCAGACCGAGGGCCCCTGCCAAGATCAGAGCGATGGTCAGGGGGACTCAGAGGAAAGAATCCAAGCAACTGCGTGGAAACGTGGTCCAAATCACCGATGATTAGAAAGACACAAATTAAAACACTGAGGCTCCAAATGAACGCCAACGCATCAGACTGGCAAAGAGGACCACAAGGGAAAAGGAAAACGACTGGAGGGGCTGTCGAGAAACAGGCCCTTGATGCGCTTGGAGGCGGACCTGTGAATTAATCCAACCATTCGGTGAAGCACCTGGAGATGCCCAAGAAAGGGCAAGGCGACCCACGGGTATGAAAGCATTTACAGTGGCTATTTATGTAATGTCAAAGAACTGCGATTTCAGGGGGTCCCCACCAAGCGGGGAATCTAAGCAAACCACGGTACAGGCGTGTGATGGAGTATTATTGTGCTCGTGTGAGAAACAGCAGAAGGAATGGTTTCAGAGAAGCCTGGAAGACTTCTGTGAACTGAAGAAGCATGAAGTTAGCAGAAGCAGGAGAATTACTTAAAAAACCACAGGATTATAAAGAAAAACAACTTTGAGAGACTTGAGCACTTTGATCAATGAAATGGCCAACCAGGATTCTCCAAGACTGATGATGAAGCACGCTACCTACATGACAGAGGGAGTTAAGAAGGGAGGGAGAGAGGGAAGGAAGGGAGTGAGAGAGAAAGGAAGGAAAGAAGGAAAAGAGGAAGAAAAGCAGGGAATGAGGGAGGGAGGAAGGAAGGAAGGAAGGGAGGGAGGAAGGAAAAGGCAGGGAGTAAGGGAGGAAGGAAGGAAAGAAAAGAAGGAGGGAGGAAGGAAGGAAAGGAAGGAAAAGAGAAAGGGAGGGAGAAAGGAAGGGAGGGAGGGAAGAAGGAAGGAAGGAAAAGGCAGGGAGTAAGGGAGGAAGGAAGGAAAGGAAGGAAAAGAGAAAGGGAGGGAGGAAGGAAGGAAGGGAGGGAGTGAGAGAGAAAGGAAGGAAAGAAGGAAAAGAGGAAGAAAAGCAGGGAATGAGGGAGGAAGGAAGGAAAGGAGGGAAGGAGGGAAGGAGGGAGGGAGGAAGGAAGGAAGGGAACAATACTCAATGCACTCAAAGAAATCAATTTGGGCATGTGTTTGAACAGAATTTGACTTACATAAGGAAGTGATTGATCCTGATGACCTTTTAAAAGTATCAAGCCCCACTACCAAATCTGCCCCAAGAGAAACAATCTTACCTTAAATATCTTTAGGTTGTTCTGTGCTTCCTGTAACAAACTTTTCAAGGCAAAGTGCATTCTCTGTTTATTTCTGAAAGGGGGTAAAGCAGGAGATGTTTTAAAAGTAGTTTCGGTCAGTCAGAAATCCATCAAACGTTGCAAGTTCTAGGCAGAACTAGCTGTCCTAATTCTACCTTGGTCTTGACTGCTATTCAGAAGCTAGCCTTGGGCTGTCCCCTGAAGAGGAGGCCAGCTCGGGGCTAATTCCCTGGAAAGGTGGCTTTCGTACCGTAGGATGTGATTGAAGGGACAGACGCAGAGAAACCCAGGAGGGCCTGTGTGAGCTGCCACTGAGGGAGGTGCACAGGACCAAGAGAACAGGCATGCGACTGCCACAATCCCGGGAGCAATGATGAGCCGTCAGGAGACTGACCGGCGCTGAGGCCTGCCCCCCTGCTCTGGATGGGGGTGAGGGGCTGGGGCTGGGGCATGAGGCCCACGTGGGAACTTGTCTGCTTGAGTACACTTCTACAAGGAAAGGCTCTAGGGGAAGGGAAAAGAGGGAGCGGTAGTGAGGGAGATAACAAAAGGAAGAAAAGACAAATAAAAAACGAATGAAAGCGTTCACCAAAAAAAGAGCAGAAGAAAGGGGACAGAGGCAAGCACAGCAACGCGAGAACTCTGAAGGGATTGTAATCTTTTAAAAAAACGGTTTCCATTCAATTTTACTTTATTTTCAGTTCCTGGATTAGTTTCAATTGCAAAACCTCCACCAGCTTCCCCGCGGCCACTCCAGAAAGGCGTGGATCCATCCCCGACTTCAGTGAGCTGGCCTTATTGGCCGGCCTTGTTCACTCACGGATGCCGAGTTCTCTCACCACAAGAGCTGTTCATCTTCCAGGCCTACCGGCTTTGTGTTGTCTGTAAGTGTGCACACATTCTGTGTACCGATGGTAAGTGGAATCATCTTTGTGGAAGTTTTCCTACATTTTTTTTTTGTTTCAACCACAGGGTGGGATCCCTGCCTACCATGGTAAACAGGCCAGGGTTAAGTAAGCAGACAATTTTTAGGTCACCTTTTCTAGCCCCTTCCTCCTCACACCAGGAAGTGAGCAGTGCGGTCCTTTTTTTTTTTTTTTTTTTTTTAAGGCAATTGGGATTAAGTGACTTGCCCAGGGTCACACAGCTAGTAAGTATCAAGTGTTTGGTCTGAGGCCAGATTTGAACTCAGGTCCTCCTGACTTCGGGGCCGGTGCTCTATCCACCGCGCCACCTAGCTGCCCCTGGTGCGGTCCTTAAAAGGCTGTTCAGACACCCAGGGGGCTGCAGAATCCCACTGCTGCTTCCAATGAGGAGATGACCCTGGGCCTGGGCCACCTATGCGCCCAGGGTTGTGACTCCAGCTCCCACTGTGTCCGCACCTGCTGCTTCGTCACTCGTCTGTCACCACAGGACTCTGAGATAGGTACATATGGTGAAATGGTATAGGTGACGTCTTGTGATTCATGCGTAAACTGGATTTAAGTGAGGCAGAGTTGCCCAAAGTCGTCGGCCTCACTCTTTCCTCCAGAATCATCAGATCCTGTGGCAGGAAGGAGCCAAGATGACTGGGGATGGCCCAGGATGCAGTGGATGACCTTGGCATCTTCTTGTCTGACCAAGCTCTAAGCGCCCCACAGCTCCTGCTTCAGCCGCCTTCATGGCCGACGGGACCAACCATTCTCATCCGCCCAGTCTGCCAGGAGAGGTCTTCACGTGCTTGGGGTACACACCCCCCCAACTCACGAAAGGGTCTGAGACCCCTCGGTTACCCTCAACCTGGTTTAGCCCGTCTGCTGAAGGAGTTTACCGGGGCGTGGCCACCTCGCATACTCCAGCTTCTTGAAGCCACAGGTGAGAGTTGGGTGGATCAGATGGGCACCAAACATGGAGGAGCAGCCCTCACGCCAGAGGTGCTGGTCCTCCCTGAACACACGCTACCCAACTGACGGTCTACAGAGCTGTGCGCCGACCTCCTTGCCGTATGCCTGTCAAACGTGGACAGTCTGCCAGCGCCGTGCCAGGAAACGGCATGGCTTCCGTCTGAATTGTCTTAGGAAGGCTGTGATCTTAGGATCAGCTGGCAGGACAAGGTGCCAGACTCTGAGGTCCTTTCTCAAACTAAACTGCCACACATTCAAATTCTACTGCAGAGAGCGCCGCTGTAATGGGCTGGCCACGTTGTTCAAAAGCCAAAAAGACTATTTTACGGAGAACTCACACGAGGAAGGTGCTCATATGGTGCCCAGAAGAAGCCACACAAGGACACTCTCAAGGTCTCTCTTAAAAACTTTGGAATTGATTGTGACACACAGGACACACACAGGAGCACGGCAGGCCCCCACCACAGAGGGCGCTGTGCAGAGGTAGCTCAAAAAACACGTGAGCTATGCACATTTAGAGCCATCTCCACTCCAAACGTTCACATGGGCTATTTGTGCCCAAGCTGTGGTAGAGCCTTCCAGCTCTCCTGGCCCAACCAGTCAGTCAGACCCCACACAGTGACATCACTGCAGTCCTCTTCAGGAATGAAGGACAACCACCCAGCAACTGTTTTCCGTTCCACATTCTCTCCTTCCCCCCCTCCCCCCCACCAGAAGGCAAGGAACACAAAACCCACTTCTAATCTCTTCTTAAACAAAAATCCAAGCTGCAGGCCGTAGATCCTGGGTCCTGTCTGAGCCTTGTACTGTTCAAGTCTCCAATTCCGCCCTCACAACTGTGGGCCACAGACATGCCAGACCCTCTCTAGAGTGACTGTAGAAACCAGACCTTAGAGCGCTCAGGCCTAGCCCAGGCAGACAAAATCCCGCTCGGGGAAGCCGGGAGGCTCTGAGGAGCCGTCCTCTGGAGGAACGTCAGAAGAAAGGCCTTCTCAGGGAGAGTGCCCAGGTACCCTCAGATCTCAAAAGGAGACGTACAACAGGCCTGCGTGGGAACGAGGGACAGCCTCGCCATGCCCAGATCGATCAGAGGCTGGCAACGGCACCCGAGACAAGAAGGGGACGGTGTGGCTTCGCCGGAAGCCGCAGAACGGCCTCTGCTTAGAGGAGGGGGCGGATGATGGACAAAGGGCAAAGGCACGCTCTCCCACTCCCCCTCAGCGGGAAGGGCTGAGCAATAAGGACTAACGGAGGAAGGGCAGCCAGGGAAGGGGCCGCGGCGGACTCCACCCTCTCTCCGCTACCCCCGACGCCTCTCACACACGCCCCCTCCTCTCCTCTGCCACCCCTCTGGCCTCCCCTGCTCTGCTGCAGTCGCTTCCCTGCCTCGAGTCTCCGTTCAGCCACCAAAGCGCGGTCTGACTACACCCCCCGCCCCCCAAACTCCAGTGGCGTCCTCCGGCCTCCAGGCCGCACGCCTCAAAGCCTCCCACCGTGCACCACTCCTTTACTCCTGTCTCCGGAGAGGAGGAGGCTCTTCACGCCAAGGCCACCCCCCAATCCTACAAATCATCTCCACTCTCTCCCTGCCTCCTGGCTCTGTCGCCCTGAACCGTGAGCACCGCGCTGTGCCTTCCTTCCTCCTCCCCCTCCTGCTTCTCAGCCCACGGCGGCCACGTGGCCGCCATTTCCCCACGTCAGGTCGGATGCTACTCTCGCCTCTTCCTCGTCCCACTGACTCTCAGACAATGCTCAGGCTTGGTTCTCCCCCAAGTGCCCCAACATTCTGTGGCTTCCTTGGCAGGGAAACCAGCCCCACCCTCCGAGCGGGTGCTCATTGAAGGTCAGGGCCACGGTTTCCCTTCCTCCATCCTTCTATTCCCTACCGTGGACATTTCATCAGTCCCCGTGGGCTCTACACCAGCTCTCCACACTCGCCACCAGGCTCACTGTGCCTAAACAAAACTCGGTAACCTTCCCCAAAAACGTGTCCACCACCCTCCAAACTTGCCAATTTCTACTGCGTTCTCCAGGTCCAGAACCTCTTTTTCTCCTTTGCCCCCATCTCCAAACGGCCTCCCCCCAGTCCGCCTCCCCCCGCTCCCAAATCAGACGTCTCTGCCCTCCACAGTCTGGCTCCCACTCCTCTCTGCAGTCTGATGCCTCATCGCTGACTTCCATGAACTCTCTGCCTCGGCTAAGGCGGGCTACTCACTGTTACCCAAACTCAGTGCTCTCTCTCTCTGGCCTGTGACCACTTGGACAAACAGTGCCCGAGGGCGACCTTCAATGGCCCCGCTGCCAGGTGCCCGCTCTTCCGGCAGCCCAGGGGTCGGGACCTTTCCTGTCCCTATGCCAATGGCACTTTGGCTTCTCCGAGGCAGGGGCGGCTTGATCTGTCCCTGGATCCTGCAGGCCTCATTCACAGCAGGTGCTCAGCATGGGAGATGGGTGTCGGGAGCTTCAGAAAAAGCAGGGGTGATTGCCAGGAGTCTCCCATGACCTCATCAGCAGCAGGTCACGCCAGGCTGACCTCACTTGTTTCTTCAGCTGAGTTACCAGACTGGTAGATCAGGGGAATCGGTCGACATCGGCCTCCCGCCAGAACTGTGTATGATATAAAGAAAAGCTGGCTGCGTTCTGGGAAGCAACGTCCCAAACGGTGACTAAACCGTGCTTAGCCTTCGGCCCAGCAACGCCACTGCCAAGGCCCAAGGAGATCAAAGAGAGAGGGAACAAGCCTCGACAGCAGGCCTTTTCTGGATGCCAAGAACTGGCAACGGAGGAGAGAGCCATCCTCGGGAGAACGGCCGACCACGCTGGGCCCTGAGCGCGACGGGAGGAACGCGAAGAGCCGGATGAAGTGACGCAGAAGCAGAGCGACGTTCCCGGCACCAGCAGCGGTGTGAGACTAAGCACTGTGAAAGCCCAGGAGGCGCGCAGCCGTGACAGCAGAGGGCTCCCGCCGCCCGCCTCCAGGCGGAGAGCCCGCAGACTCGGACTGACACGGCCAGTCTGGAGATCTGTCTGCTTGACGACACGTCTTTGCACCGGGGTTTTGTTTTTCTTGTTTTTGTAATGGGGGGAGGGTGGGAAGGAAGGTGGATCTTTGGAGGAAAATTAATTTTTTGGAAAAAAAAAAAAAGCTGCACGCTGAAATCGTTAGCTGGCTTCAGACTGCACTGAAGAGCCCTTCTCAAGTGCAGCAGAATCATGTCGTGGAACTTCAGATTAAGAAGACCTGGATTCAGATCCTGGCTCCATCAAATCCCACTGAAGCGACGCCCTGGGCACGACCAGACGCCCTCTCGGGTCTCTCCCAGCACTGGCATCGTGGCCCGCTCAGGAGGGACGTCCACAGAGGGTGCCACGAGGCTCTCTCCTCAGCCCAGCCTGCTGCACAGTCACCAATGGCTTGGATGAGGACAGACGGAGATGGCCAAGAAATGGGTGCATTTGTCTCCCTGACTGTACTTCTCTGGCACGAGAGACAGCTCTACATGGGAGTCTTTGGGCAGCAACTGCATCAGCAGAGAGAAGTGTACAGACTGATGACTAACCAGCCTGAGAAGGAAAGCTCAAACCCCAGGGACAGAATCAGGAAGGAGGGACTGCACTGACGCAATCCCTCCCAGGCTATGCACTGTGCTGCGGACAGACACGGGACACCAGGAGAGCCCCAGGCCCCAGGCGGGGCGGCCCTCGGGGGCACAAGCCTTCCAGGAGTCACGGAGCTGGATATGGCCGATGGACCCCAAATGAGCGAGAGCCACAAAGGCCGCGAGCAGGGTGTGCAGCTTCGATCCTCTGTCCTTCAGAAAGAACGGCTGCTTAGCCACCCGCCTGGGCTGACCCTGCTGCGCCCCATGTCGGGGTCACCAACGATGCTCCAGACCAGACCTGTCTCCTTGACTGTGCTGGGCTCACTGCCTGAGCTGACCCCCGACATTAATCCAGGTCCACTCTGAATCCACCTTCTTTGACCATAATCATTTCCTTCATGGGGGCCCTGATCACTATTCTCCTGGGCTCCCTCTGACCCTGGTACGGTAGGACCGTCAACTCCCGGAGGCATCAGAGAAAGGCCAGAGATGAAGTGACAGAGTCCTGGGCAGAAAGCCTCCCGTGACACTGATGGGGTGGCCTCTGTAGGCCTTGGTTTCCTCTTCTGTAAAGTGGTGCTAAGAGCCGGAAAAGGACCTCATGGAGCTACCGCAAAGCTTGCACAAGCCGGCGCTGACAAAGGGTCAGGTGTTACTGTTCATGATCCCAAAGTGACACGCTTGGTGAATACCTCCTCAACTGAATTTGCTGAACAAAACATTCAGCTGTGAAACAAACTGGGAAAAATCAATACCGGCCAAACGAGACAGCTGGCAAGGCAGCAGCTCGCCCAGGCCGCACACCCTGGCCACCCCCCAAGCTGTGTCTAGTGCCAGGGATTCAGGTCAGAAAAGCTTCTTACCCTGAGAAGAGGTCTAAGGGACAGTATTTACTGATCTGTTTCCATTTGCCAGTTGCAACCTGTTAAAAAAAATTGGAATCATTAATTAATTAGCAATGATTAATGCTAATTTAGTTAATTAAATTACTGATGATTAATAATGCACATTCACAAGTACCCCAATCCAGGAAAACACACTATTCAGTTCTGAAAGCTGTCCTACAGTATGGTGGAAACACATGTAAAACTTTCTTTCCAGTTTCTCTAGAAACAGTAAGAAATATTTTCCTCAAAAGGCCTTTTCAGACTCTGGGGAAAAGCTCGTTGGCCTCTTCTTTAGGGAACTGAAGGACGGTGCTCCACCGTTCATCCCAGAATTGTCCCCAGGTTGAACGTGACTTGCCCTTCTATCTCTGGAAGGGACCCTGCCAGGTCACGTGCCCATCCTGACCGCACAGGATTGTAACAGCTTAGCATCTGGACCCCTCTACATGTTACCAGAGTGATGTCAGGGACATCAGGGGGACGGTTTAGATGTCTCTCTCCTAGCCAGATATGTCTTACAGATGGACTAAGCATCAGTTGTTTCTGGCACACCTGAGCTTAAAAAAACACAGAGTAAAATATTAATGCTAATGTTTTCTTTAGCAGTGTGGTAGAAAGTGTCCTGCTTGCCAACAGAGGCCAACAGCCCTGTGAAACACCCGTAACTTCCCAGGGTTCAATTCCCATGATCTGAGTTCAAATCCAGCCTTGGACACTTATGAGCTGTGTGACCCTGAGCAAGTCACTTAAGCCCTGTCTGCCTCAGTTTCCTCTCTGTAAAATGCGGATCATAACAAGGTTGTTGGGAGGACCAAATGAGATTCTGTTTATAAAGCACTTTGCAAACCACAGAATAAACACCATTATTCTACTCCTCCACTCCACCTCCTACCCCTGCCCTCCAATGCCACAAGACCCTCCAATCCCGACTCCCCAGTTCTTTCCCAGGCTGTCCATCACCCCTGCCCTGGCTACCCTCTGGGTAGGACGCAGGTCGAATCCTGTGGAACAAAGAAGGCAGCCATCCCAGAAGGCCTTTGCCATCTGTTCCCTGCAGGTGCTGACACCGGGCCCTCTCTGAACACGTTCCATCATCTCCACCAACGTCTCATCTGTACATACTCGGTCACATGCCGTCTCCCCCAGCATGTGAGCTCGCTGAGAGCAAGGACCATCAGGTGCCTGGCGCCAAGTAAGTATTTCACAACTGCCTGCTGATGGGCTAACTGAGCCGGACCACAGCAACAGGCTTCTGCCGGCCGTCCTGCCTCGAGTCTCTCCCCACTCTGATGCAGGCTCTACTTGCCTACAGAAGGGCAGGTCTCGCCACGCTCCATCCCCCCTTTCTCAGTAAATACGGCCCCAGCTCTAGGGGGTGCCATCATCAGACCACACCCATGGGAGCTACTGAAGAAGACAGAAAGGACCGGAGATGGATCAGGGTGCAAATCTACCGCCCAGGTGCCGAAGAGGGCAAGTCTGGGAAAGGCAAAGAAAGCTTAGCTGCCGAAGGGAAGTAGAGGGCGGCTGGCAACTTCCAGGTCCCAGAGCCTGGCACAAGGCCTCTGCCTGGACTGGAGCTGAGCCAGCACTTGGGAAGAAAGCTGCAATCCTCTGACCTTCCTTCTCCAGCCCTGACCCTGCGACTCTCTTCTTACACACTTAGAAACTGGAGGGGTGTGGCCCCTCTCACCAGAGCGGGTGACCAGCCATCCCACACGCAGCACCACTGAGGGGACAGGCCTGCTCAGTACACTGTAGGAAGATGGCATTGCAGGGAGGCAAAGGACACAAGGCTGGCGAGAGGACCCGCCCCAGTCTGGGGAATCAAACAGGCACAGACAGAGATGCCCAGGCCAGAGCAGAAATTCTATACAGGGAGGACAGGCGGAGACACAGCAACCAGCTCAAAGACTCCCATGTAGAAGGAGAATCAGAGTTGGAGGCAGGAGGAGGACCGAGGGGCCGCAGGTCCGCTTCGTACAAAGAAAAGCCCCCGGCTGCCCACAAAAAGACTAACTCCCTGCCTGGGGAGGGGACCCTGCTTCCGTACTCTCAAGAAGGGGGGCCCAGCTTGGCTGGCCCACCCTGGGGTGGCACAGAAGAGAGGAAGGAAGCCCATCTATGAAGCTATCACGGGTGCCCCGAGAGCCGGGCCATCTGGGGGCTGCTTCTGGGTGGGAGGCGAGAAGACTTTCTCCACCTGCTTCTCAGGGATGGGAGATGGCTTGTGCTCCCCCTCATCTGTGCCCACGTGGACTCAGGAGCCCCCCGGGGACGGGACCCACCCCCCAGGCTGCTCCCGACACCGCGATGCTGCCGGTGGAGCCCTGGGCCCAGCCCCTTGCCATCCCTCGCCCCGGCCACAAGGGCAGCCCAGCTGCCCTGCTCACACTGCCATGGGCGTCTCGTCGGAATCAGCCAGAAGCTGATGGAATGTCAGCCTTCCATAGACGAGCTTTTGCTTTCATGGCGAGCTGGGGCCACGAAAGGCGCTTTTCAACTTCCCAAAAGCAATCCAGCCCGCTCTCTTCCTCCTGTCAACTCAAGGTCTGAGAATGAAAGGCAGTCTCCAGAGAGGTCGACGGCGAAGCCCACTCACTCGGTCCTCCTTCCCAAGCTCTCTGCCCCTCGGCACAACCAGCACATCCTCCTCAAACCAGAGCATCGGAGGTGCTCTGCAGCCACGGGCCTGGGGCCTCCCTCGCCTCCCTCACGCGGGCGAATGCTTCCCGAGAGCACACCGCTGCTTGTCTTCAGCTGTTATACCTCTCCATGATTTTACTCTGGCACTCGGTCCTACCGAATCAAATGCTTTTTGGCAATCAACAATAAAACCAGGCACGCTGGGGCACCCCAACACCCGTGCCTAGGGGCCAGGCAGGGTGTGGAGCTCGGACCCACAGGGGGCTGTGCTGACTGGGTGCCTGTACTACATCTGGCACCAATCCGGCGAGCCCCTGGGACTTCCACATCGGTAGAATCCCGCTGCCAGCCCGGATCGCTCACGACGTCAGCGCTGGATTTTCTCCTCCCTCCAGGCGTCTCTGGCGCCGATGTCCTCTCTACAGCCTCGGTCTAGCTGGCCGGTTTTCCTACGGGTTCCAGCAGGTGCTGTTCTGACCGTGTCCATAAGCAGCCTCTCGTTTTCCTCTGGCCTCCGGCTCCTGGGGCCAGGCTCATTGTCATCTGAGAGTCAAGTTCCTGTCCTCTCCCTCAGGCAAGTGAGCCAGACGTTCACTGATGAAGGCCCCGGCTCTTGTGGCCTCCTCCTCGTGCTCAGGTCCTCCTCCATCCCACAGCTCAGGTCCTGCAGCCACGGCCTGTCAAAGCTCTCCTGCTTGTGCGTCCCCCTTCTGCGCCTCTTCTCGAATGCTTCGAGGATGGCTGTCATCTTTCTTAAGCAGTGCTATCACTGGCCTCCCTCTCCTCCCCAAAGCCCCCACTGGAAACAAGAAAAGAAAGGCCTTGACAACCACTAGGGTTGTTAAGTGATGCAGACACCCCATCTGGTAGATCCACCCGGAGCTTCTCCCTGAGTCAGTACGTGCCATCATGAGAAAGGCAGCTTGCCCCCTCCTCCATCCTCCAGAGCCTCAGCCTGACAGTCACCACGCCAAGGTGCACCGCATGACTTCCCGATCTTGCCAGGCTCCCTGAAACGTCCACCCCCCGTCATTTCTTAGCGGTCCCACCACACTCCGGGCCCTGAACTGCTCCTCGAGGCACCGCGACCCAAAGAGCCGCAGTCAGCACTCTGGAGCACGTGGGTCCTTTTCCTGCTCCTTGGAGCTCCTGGGGAGTGCGAGCCCAGCAGAGGCCCTGGCAGGCTGGATGTCTCCAAACACAATCACTGGGGCCTCTCTGCTGCCCCTCTCCTGTCTCTGGTGTCCAGTCCCTTCCCGAGTTCAGGCCTGAGTCCTTTCTACTTCAAGCCAAGCAAGGAACTTCTTCAGGATGTGGGCTGGGCATCATTGGCACGGAGTCGCTCCTCAACATCCTTGGCTTTATCTTGGCCTTGAGCTCAGCTTTTCAGCTGACCGATGGGCCCACCTGCTCTAGTCTGACTTCACGGATGAGAAGCGTGGGCAAGGCCAAGTGCTGGCCTTGGAGGGAGGGTGATCTGAGTTCAAATCCTGCCTCAGACCTAACTTCTCCACGGACTTCAAGGCCCTGGTACAATGGGAGTAACCACAGCTCCTTCATCACAGGGTCCTAGGGAGAGCAGGCACTCAACTAGCACATGAAGCACCTACTATGCACCAAGCACCACGTGCCTTATAAGCTCCAAAGAGTCAGAAAGAGGAGGAAAAGCCCCAAGGGTCCCTGCGAGCTCACGCGTTCACCAGCCTGTCGAGAATGAGGCAGATCACATGGAGAAACAAGGCACTAAGAGGAAGGAGCCAGGGAAGCTGGTGGAGGGGAAGGCAGAGCCTGCACAGGGAGGGGCAGGCCGCCTCTGGGGAGCCAGATCCAGAGTTTTCTTTGTGACCTTCAGGGCTCCATCCATGTCGCTCCCCAGGGGCCCCCCAGAGAGTTGGTCTCTCCCATCCAGACAAGGGTTAAGAGTCACACACAGAACAGAATCAGAATGCCCCCGAGTCTGAGACCGCAGTCCGTCCGCCAGCCCCGCTCAAGGCCTGGGCTCAGACAGACAGACAGACGTACCTTCAGGTGCTGATGCATGCAGTATCGACACACCTTGTGCTTCATCTCCTGGGTCACATGCCTGGAGAAGGGAATGAATCCACATTTTGGCTGCAAATATAAGCACACGGTCAGAAAACACTCGGGGAGGCCCAGAGAGATGCTCGTGAGCAGGTGGCTAAAGGCTCGCAGGCCGCAAAGGCAGGTTCTCTTTCTGCTCTTGGACCCTCCTGTGGCAAGGCCTGGGCGGGGCAGCCCTCTGGCAGCCAGGGCGACACCCCCAAGGACGGAGCCCCATCCTTGCTGGGTGCAGGCAGTGCTGGCCTTGGGAAGAGACAGGCAAGCCACTCCTGACCCAGGCACCAGGAGACGAGCTATGGCGGTCACCGTCCTCAGGGGCCCAGAGACACCGCCAGAGAACGAGAAGGCACGGCACACTCTTCCCCGCAGAGGTGGTACACTACGAGGGTGGGACACCACACATCAGGTCAGGCTTTTCTGGATGTGCTGGTTCGCTTTCCTAAACTGGAGGATGGCTCTGACGAAGGGGGAAAAATGTCCTGGGATGGGAAATGAGGGTGAACTAATAACCAACCGACATGAGGAGGTGTGCCAAGCCCCAAGCCAGGGATGGAGACAAGGGCCCAGACGGGCTGCCCAGCCTGCATTGACCCAGAGCTAGGCTCCCCATGCTTCCCCAGCTCAGAAACCCCAGGAACCAGGACCATGGCCTAGGCCAGGACACTGGCACCGGCTCGGGGCACAGAGGCTAGCCTGAAGCTTTGCTTCACCAAGGGGTGAGGGTAATGGCAATGGTACCACCCGCTGGGTCTGGCAGCGGCTGAAGAGGTCCCCTGGCCAGAAACCAGCAAGCGGCATGTGGCACCCAGTACCCTGCCGTGCACCAGCAGAAACTAACAACAGCAGCTCACGGGGCCCGGGGCCCGGGGCCCGCCCACCCAGGATTCTGGCCCCAGCCAGGGCCCGTCCCTTTCCCTTTCTCAGCCAGTTCACCTTAATCTCTACACACAGAATAGGCCGGTGTTCCACGAAATGGCTGGTGTGCAGTCTGGTAAGGTTTGGAAGGCACATTGCATAACCACTGAGAGTGTCCAAGTCTTTATCACAGCGACATTCTGGGAAACAGAAGGAAAAAGTCGAAAGATCAGTTCAACTCGCGGGACAGATGCCGCAGGCACGTGAAGTTCGGGGAACCTAGCATCCGAGCTCCGCCCTCTCCCCCCTCCCCCCCCCATGTGACGAGAACTTTCAGAGCTGAACTGGACCAGCTGAGCCTAGCAGCTGGAAAGAGGAGATGGTCTAGGGCCTGGAGCCTAGGGCTGGACAAAGCCCCCGGAGCTCCGGGACAGAGGGCAGAGCTTCCAGGGGGCTGGCCGGCTCCATCAGACGGGAGGAGAGCCGAGGTGGCTGGGGGCCTGCGCCGGGCAGTCTCAGGGGACTGAGCTCTCCCAAGTCGGGCTGACCAGCCCTTTTCTCCCTCTCCCCTTTCCATCCTCGGTTTCAAAGGGACCAGAGCCTGGCCTCGCCCAGAAGGCCCAGCAGCCCTCCTTACCTGGTCTCTCTGCCTGGATCTTTAAACAGAGCTGCTTCACGAAGTCCAGAGGGAGCTGAACGACCTCCTAGAGACAGACATACCAGACTCAGGAAGAGCTTCCCCACTTCTTCCCTCAACAGGGGGTTCACTTGGGCACCGAGGTCCTGGGAAGGAGCACCATCCCTCCGTCCCCCACCCCCGGGATTGAGACTGAAAGCCTGGGATGGAGACGAGCGGCCCCCGGCTTGGCAGGCTAGAGGAGATGCATCCACAAGAAGCAGGAGGCAGCCGAAAAGTCAGAGGGCAGCATGGCCCAATCTGGGGGCTGAAGGCACGGAGGAGGAGGCAGATGCCCAGAGCCAGGGACTGCCTGGCCCAGTTCACTCATGGCCCACCCTGGAAGCAGAGTCATCTAAGGTCCCAGGGCCTGAGCTCCAGCTGAGGGTGCAGCTTCCGTTCTTCAGCACACAGCACACGCATGCAGCACACACGCACACACATGTAGTGCACACATGCAGCACACGCAGTGCATACATGCAGCACACGCAGCGCGCACACACATGCACGCAACACACAGAGTGCATACACGCAGCACACACACAGTGCATGCACACAGCACACAGAGTGCATACACACAGCACACACACAGTGCACACACACACACGCAGCACAGAGTGCATACACGCAGCGCACACACACAGCACACAGTGCATACATGCAGCGCACACACACAGAGTGCACACACGCACACACACTCCCACGCACCAGGAAAGGGGAGGCTCAGAGTTCACTGGAAGTGGAGACCCCAAGAAGACTGGCTGGGGTGGGGGCCTGACCAAACTTTCTCCCCTTTTTCCGTTGGGTAATTTACTGAATGTTACGAAGCCACCTTTCAGTAGGGAAAGCAGAGGAGACCTTCTCAGCTCTTTTCAGGACATCCCAAGATTTCTTTCCTCTAGGCCAGACTCCCCAGACGCTGCCAGTCTGTGTCCATCCCCCTTCCATGCCTTCCTTCGTCACAGGGTGCTGGGGCACCCCCACCCTGCTCTGCGGCCACCATTCACACGAGGCCTTCCTCTCGGGCTTTCATTTCCACGGCTATCTCTCACTGTGATGTTGTCATCGCCATCCCCCAGTCTAAGAGCGTGAAGCCTCCCGCCTCTGCCAAGTGAAGGGCTGGGGTGGGGGAGGAGGCTTCTCCAAGCCTGCCTCGGGTTGTCCACTGCTGCAGTCATCCTGGGGCCTCTTCCTCCACTCTGCAACAGTTCATGGAAATCTTCTCATAAGTCAATTCTCCTGTCACTGCTTTCTTTAATTGCGCTACATTCACGTCACACAGCAGGTGCGGGCGTTCTCCAGGCGATGGGCATGAAGTACTAGTGCCTGTGGGGCCTTTCTTCTGGGCACTGGCTTTCTTGGGGTACATGGGCCTCACGGGGGAGCTCTGGGCCAGTTGCCACAGTGACTCGTCTGGCCAGTGAGTATCAATAAAGGAAGCAAAGCCTGAGAAGGGCTTCAGAGTCCAAACACCTCTACATCAATGACGGAGAAAAAGACCAGAGAGGAGAGACAGGGGGAGGGGACCACCTGCCCAGCAGAATCAATTCAAGCAGCACGGCGGTGAGGCCTTGGCCTTTCCCTGCCTGGGCTGGGACAGCAGACCCAAGTACACAGGGTGCCTCCGCCACAGTGCCGGGCAAGGCACAGCACCGGCCTGGACTAGGAGTCTAGTCCTGGCTCTGCCCTGAACAGCTGCATGGGGCTGTCCGTCCTCTCTGGCCCTGAATTTCCTCCACGTGCAGAAAGAATGGATTGGAGTAAATCCAGCTCTAAAAATGGCACGAGTCGATGAACTTCCCAGAATTCCCTGAACCACTCCTCCTAGTCAGCTCCAGGACGGCGTTAAAAAGCCCGAAGAACATTCAGTCCTTAACAACCTTGGTCTTCATGCTGTGTGTACTGGTACTTTCTGTCTCCCCACTCCAATGGGATGTAAGCATCACGAGGGCAGGGAAGGTCTCCCTCTTGGTCTCTGTCCCTGATGCTCAGTGAGCACAGCGCATGGCACAACAAACCATGACTGACCATCACTTCACATGTGCTTTTCCTGACTCCAGCTGGCTCAAGGTCGGGCCACTTCCCGTGTTGAGCTCATTTGGCCTATTCAGCCTACCAGGGGACCGAAAAGACCGGCTGACGTCGCCAATGCTCCTCCCAATCTTAAGGCGTCCTGATGGCCAGAGAATGTCCTACCCCAGTAATGGCCAGCAAGTGAAGCTGCCGATTTCCACAATGGGGGAGAAGCCTCAGGCACCTCTGGGATGCCATTCTTTCACTCGTGCAAGTCACCAGCAAACCACTCTCCCCTCAGCGGCTGCTCACCCCAGTGAGGTGAGGGCAGATCCCAGTCACTGTCCTTTGGCCCTCACCTGCTGCCAACTACAAGTCTAAGTGATACGGTTAATATCTGGGTTTGGAAGGCAGGACCTGGGCCCCTTAAAATCCACTCTCTGATCATAAAAATGGGGAAAGGACCCACATTTACAGAATTATTTAGAGCAGCTCTTTTTGTGGTGGCCAAGAATTGGAAACTGAGGGGATGCCCGTCGACTGGGGAATGCCTGAACGTAATGGAGTACTACTGTGCTATAAGAAATGAAGAGCAGGCAGACTTCAGAAAAACCTGGAAAGCCTTGTATGGACTGATGCGGAGTGAAGAGAGCAGAACCAGGAGAACATCATACAGAGTACCAGCCACGCTGCGTGGTGACTGACTTTGAGACACTTGACTCTTCTCAGCAACGCAAGGATCTGAGACGATTCCAAAAGACTCGATGAAAGATACCGGCCGCCAGAGAAACAGCCGTGGAGTCTGAATGAGGAGGGAAGCAGGCTCTTGGCTCTTTTTTTTTTTTTTTTGTTTCTTCCTTCTCATGGTTGTTCCCTTCGATTTTAATACAACATGACTAATGTGGAAATAGGTTTAATAGGAATGTATATGGAGAGCCCATAATAGACTGCATGTCGTCTTGGGGAGAGGGGGAGAAAATTTAGAACTCAAAATCTTACAGAAGTGAATGTTGAAAATGAAAATAGGTAAATTTTTTTGTTAAAAAAAAAAATCCATGGGGGCAGCTAGGTGGTGCAGTGGATAAAGCACCGACCCTAGAGTCAAGAGGACCTGCGTTCAAATCCGGCCTCAGACACTTGACAGTTACTAGCTGTGTGACCCTGGGCAAGTCACTTAACCCCACTGCCTAGTCAAAAAAAAAAAAAATCCACTCTCTGTGAGCCCTTCCCTCAGGCTTTTGAGCTTTCTCTCCACCCCTGCAAAGAAGGGCCACAGGGTTTCCCTCCCCACCTTTTCCCTGCTACATCAGCCTCTTTGGGCTTCACAAAGATTCACTCCCAAGCACTTAGAGGCTGGGTAACTGTGGAAGTAACAGTAAGAGATGGAAAAGGAAAGAGTTTCCGACATGACGGCCCTTTGTTTAGTCTGGGTACTTGGAGCTGGGCCCTCCCAGCCAGGCTCGGCCTCCACGGCAGCTCAATGTGCAGGCCTTCGCTCTGGACACTCCTCAGTCTCAGGCTCCAGGATCCATTCTTTTCCAGTCTCAGCTATGACTCACTAGTCCATTCTTGGGTCCGTCACAACTAGGGGTGGAAGCTAAGAACAACATGTGAACAAGCATTTATTAAGCACTTAGTGTGTGCCTGGCAGAGTATGTGCATGCGTGTGTGTGTACGTGTGTGTGTGTGTGTGTGTGTGTTTGTGTGTGTGAAATCAACCCAAACATGAAGGTGAAGTAGCGACAGAAAATGAGAAAAAGGCTCTGGGGCCAGGAGAAACCTGCACCCAGACCCAGCCTGGGCCTCAGAGAGCTCACCCAGGCCTGGCTGGACCATCGGGAGGATCAAGTCCATGGAGGGAGCTGTGCAAATCTGGAGGTGAGACTGGGCGTGCCAGTGACTCACCCCAGGGCGTGTGAGAAGGCCTAGGCACCTGTCCAGATCAACTCATGTCCTCCAAAAACTGGGCAGAGCCACAGCATCTATTACATACGTGTGCGTGGGTCCGTATGTAAAACATGCACACACACATATATATGTATCGATACATGTACACAAGTTAAATTTCATATATCTGTACAAAGAAACACGGGAGGGAGGGTGTGGTGCGCTCTAATAAAAGACAGAACCCAGACAAGCTAACAGAGGTGTCTCAGCTCCCTCTTCCGTCCTGGCCCTGGGGGACAAAGATCCCCCACAGGAGCCCACCTGAAGAGTGCCCTCCCCATTCCAGGGACAATGAAGTCCCCAGGAACCTCGTCCTAGTTTCCACCCCCTCCACTGGGCTCCCTGGGGATCCCACTGGCTTTCCCTTTCTCCTTCCTTTCATCTTCTTCTCCCAGGCGCTCTGTCACCGATACCCCTGACCAAGGGCAGCAGGGATAGCCCTTGCTGCCCTCTGCCACCACCCTCAGTAACCTCCTTCCTCTTCAGAGAGCTCTTCATTCCACATTCATCGCCCAATTGAGATTCTGGTAGTATTTCTCTACCAAGGCCCAAGTCAGTGACCTTCCCTTGGTGGGGTCAGCACCTGACTCACAAGCTCTCCACCCCTCTCCAAGGGGACTTCAACACACAAAATACCCCAACCTGCCAGTTCCTTCACTTAGTCATTTGCCATGACGTAACTCCTCTTTCAACATAGCAGGGGATTAACAAATGCTTGCTGAATGACTAACCACTGATAAATGACAGGAGATTTTGACCAGAAGCCCCTTGCCCCTGAACGTCCTTGGCTGCAGATCCCGGGGTGCACCGGCCATGGCTGAAGGCCAGCAAGAACACGCCCAGAACAAAGCACCAAGGAGCAGCCTGGCAGCCGTGCCAGATGGGGGGGCGGCCGCGCCAGGCCCCGACGCCCGCGGCTTGTCTCCACCAAGCTTGGGAGGAGCGGTCCTTTGACTCATTATTCTGCTATTTCACGGGATAATCTCACCAGCTCCCATGGATTCCGCAATCACCCTCCAGCCTACTTCTCCTGCCCTGATATCTCAGCTGACCGCCAGTCTCACCACTCCATGGTGTTCTTCATCTCCGTCTGACAGACATCTTAAGCGTAACACATCCAAGACAGAACTCCTCCTCTTCCTCAAACTCTCCCTCCCGCTTTCCCCCTTCTCTGTTGCTATCCAGAGCAGCCCCTCCTCCCAGGCCCTTAGGCTCAGTCCCCCTGGACACCTCCTTCCCTCTCACTCCCCAGAGTCAAGCTGCTCCTAAGACTCGTTCTCTCCACCTTCCCAACATCTCTCGAATCTACTCCCTTCTCTCCTCCCAGGTGCAGGTCCCCACCACCTCACACCTCGATTACTACACTAGCTGCACCAGTCTTTCCTCCGTCATCTCTGCCAGGCTGATGGTCTGAGAGTTTTTTAAATTTACACTTATTCTTAGGGACGTGATCGTCCTTGCAGGTTCACAGACCATCCCTGGAACACCGCCTCTTCATATCTTTTGGTCACTGAGCTCTCAGAGAATGACTGGCACCTGTAACTGGATATTTCCCTATGAAATTCCCTCTAGGTCTTGGATGTCAAGCTTTTATCTGAAAAAACCAATGCAAAGAGTGTTTCCCAATTAACTGCTTCTCTTCCAAGTGCGACCAAGCAACTGGCACAACAGCCTTTCCATTTTACATCCTCCAAATCGCACATTGTCTCCTGAGATCGCCTGGATGTGGACGGGCACGGGACCGCTTCTACCCTCCGCTCATTTTGTGTGTGACCGTGGACATTCAGCTCACGTATCAATTTGGAGTTTATTACAGTGTAAGATGTTGGTCTAAATCCACCTTCTACTAAACTGCTTTCCCATCTTCCCGACAATTTGTATTGAACAGGGAATCCTTCCCATCAGAGTTGGTGTCCTTGGGAGAATGTGCATGCGTGTGTGCGCATGTGTGTGCGGGTGTGGGTGTGTGTGTGTGTGGGTGTGTGTACCAGAACCAAAGCATTTCTGGTCGCTGCTTTATGACAGTTTGAGATTTGATAACACCCTTGATTCTTACTTTTATTCACCGTTTTCCTAAAAATACTTGACCTTTTTTTCTAGATGGATTTTATTTTGTCTACTTTCATAAAATAACCTGAAAATTAATCATCCTTAAATAAGCCCCTCCACTTACGGACATCTGATTTAAAGCATGCTTTGTAGTTAGGTTCCTCTAAGATGTGGGGGGCTTAGGAGGAGTACTCCCACCTACCAACTGGGGCATTTCCAAAGTTTTTCTGAATGGGATTTCTTCTTCAGTCTCCTCCTACCGAGTTTCATTAGTAATTAGCAATGGGCTGCATTTTTGTGGCTTTGCTTTGTGTCTCACTATGAGCACCACCAGACTTACTCTTTGCCCTCATGCGCCCCCAGTGGAGTGACTGCTCTCTAGCTGGCACGAGAGTTGGTCAGACCTGACTCCTCCATTAGATGGATCCTTTACAGGCAGAAATGTGCTGTCTCCGCTGGCCGGGGACAGGCTTGAGGGTTTGCAGAATGTGTGTGCACATGTACTTCCTGTGTTCTGCCCCTGTGGCCTCCACTGATGGGACAGCCCCTTCTGGGGCCAAACCACATGTCAAATGGGCTCTCATTTTGTCTTCTTCTCTACATGCAGAGTGAACAGCGCTGAGAGAAATGACGTGGTTCTGAAGCAGGAACAGCAGTGACTCAAGGCGACCACCCATAATGCTCAAGTGCAGTAACGGGCTTCTCAGGAACTCCCCCAGCTCCCCAAGCGTCTGTGTCTCCGGGGAGGCAGGGGGATGAGTAGCCTTGTGCTGGCCCTGCCCCAGGGCCTCCGGGTTCTGTTCGGGGTCCTCTATTTCTCTTTCAACACCGAAGCCAGCACTAAGTGAAGGCCGCACTGCAGTTGCTACGAGGGACTTCTGTCCTGTTCCAGCAGGATCAGACCCATGAAGAAGGAGTGACGCGTAAAGCAAGGACGGGAGTGCAGGCCTGCCACATGACAACACTTTTTGTTCCTGGCTAACACGACTCTAGAAATCACTACTGCACAAAACTACGAGAACTCCAAAGGAACAGAACACGAACAGGGTCTCAAAAGGAATGGAAACATTAAGAGCACACCCCAGTCCTCCCTCCTAAAAGAGAAAGGTCCGCCTTGAAAAATCATCAATAAACTTTGACTAAGCACCTACCATGTGCCAGGCACTGTGCTAAGTGAGTTACAAATAACTGAGTGAAGGCCCTGGAATGAAGAGGGGATGGGAAGGCTCCAGGAGAAGGGGGAGTTTTAGCTGAGACTAAAGGCCCGGTCAGAGATGAGGAGGACAAGCGTTCCAGGCCCAGGGCATGGCCAGAGAAAGCCTGGAGCTGAGAGGTGGGGTGGGGGAGGCATCACTGGACCAAGGAGGACATGTCAGGGTGAAACCTAGAAGAAGGCTGGAAAGGATGCTTCTAACACCAACCAAAACTTCTCACTGTTGATTCTGCAAGTGACAGGGAGCCGCTGGAATGTACTGGGAAGGGGAGGGCACAGTCACACCTGGCCAAATGGAGAGGAAACCAGAGTAGGGGGGAGAGCCTTGTGGCAGGCAGACCCACCAACAGGCTACCACGATGGATCAGGCGTGAGGAGATGAGGGCCGGGTCAGAGGAGAGAAGGGGACGTGTCTGAGAGATGCTGCAGAGGTGAGATCGACAGGCTTTGGCCACAGGTCGGAGGTGAGGGGGAGAGACAGTAGCGTCCAGGAGGACGCCTGGATTGCAAGCCTGAGGGCCTGGGAGGAAGGTGCTGCCCTCTACGATAACAGGGAAGGGAGGAGGGAGGGGAGCTTGGGGCTTTGGACACACTGAGGGGAAGATATCTAGTGGGCATACAGGTGCAGACGTCTGAAAGGCAGGTGGAGATGCAAGACTGGAGGTCAGCAGGGAGGGGAGGGCTGGATACGTGGATATGGGTTGGTTAGTCCGTCACCACGGGTTAACTGGCTGCATTATTATTAATTCTGCAATGGAATATGGAGCAGGAAGGAGGCAGACATTCCCCAAAGGTAAGCTCCTCTAAATGAAATCAACACTCCCCAATGCAAGGGTCAGAGACAGTAAGTAATATATCAAAATACCCAGATCAGAAGAAGGAATGACAAAGGCAAAGACCTTCAGACCACAAGAGGCCTCATCCCTCTACAGCACGAATACTTTCTTTGAGAAAAGAGTCCACTGACCTAGACAGAGTGGGCCCCAATACCTATGAAAGGGCAAGTGAAACCACTCCATCTTGAACTATTTAAATAACAGATAGTGAAGAATGATGGACACACTACCTAGAAGAATCATAAGCAGAATTTAACCAGCCTAGCTGAGCTGCCCCATCAGGAAGCCCAGGACCCTTAAAAATCTCACTCTGGAAAGACGTAAAGAGATCTCTCCCGCCAAATGGGTCCAACCCCGCCACCTGGGGGGTGTTCTAGCCACCTCCCACCTTTCCACGCTTCTCACACCTTACACCCCAACACATCCGGGCTGCTCCTCAAACAATACATTCCATCCCGGGCCTTCTCTGGGCTGCCCCCCACTCCTGAACGCTCTCCCTCTGTATCTCCTTTTGCAAGAAGTCTCGCCCAGCTGCCCCGCATTGTAACATGAATATGAGACAGGAGGAGAGGATGGGGCCCCGCCATGGGCGAGCACTGCCTGCCCTCCTCCAGCAGGCGCCCCACAGGGGCCATCCCTGCTGACTCAAAGACACCCCCAGTCTAGCACAATCTAGGGACCTGTGAAGACCCTCCCCTTGAGCGAGGGCTGCCCAGGAGCCCAGGAAGGGACAGCTGAGGTAATGCACACGAACCCCAAGAACACACGTAGCCCGCGGAGGAAGAGCGCGGTCCGCCATGCTATCTGTTCCGAGCTGGCCACTCTCTACCGTGGATCACAGGAACAAAAGTGACTTACCCCATGATGCACGTAATTCTCCCCAAAAAACTCTGTCATAACATTTTTGCCAAAGTCCACTATGCTCTGCAGATGGCGGAATATTTCCTCAGACGTCTGTAAAAGACAAGGATGACGATGGTGAGACATCAGATTCATTCCCTCCCTGAGAACAAACCGTCTTTATCTACAACCAGCCACAACCAACCACGTAAAGCAGAGCCATTCCTGGGGCAGAGCAGAGGAAGGGCCAGCCTGGCAAGGCCGCAGAGCTGCAGGGAGCAGGGGAGGAGAGGGGGGAAGAAGAGAGAAGGGAGGACAGGGAAGGAAGAGGAGGAGAAGGGGAGAGGGAGGGAAGAGAGGGGCAGGGAGAGGAGACGCTCACACTAGGCAGTCTCCAAGGCCTTTCTCACAGACGCCTGCTCGCCCTCGGCCGTCCAGCTGATGTTTCAAGGCCAAGGGGCTCAGCTCTTCTCCACCCCTTCCCAGCCTATCTGCCAGTTACACGTTCTAAGGCAAGCAGGCCCACCCCGAGAAGCAGCCACACTGGTAGCCAAAACTTCAATCTGAGATGAAGCCAGCAGAGGTTGGGACAAGGGGCTCCAAGCTTAGGAGGCAAAATGCAGGGGACGCCAAGGCTCCGCCATCCCGGGGACTGCTCGCGCGGCCTGGCCTCTGTCTCCCCGCCTTACTCAAGGTGCTCTCTTCAAAGTCACTAAGGACCTGTTCCTTCCTAAAACCAATTGGCTCGATCAAATCATCAAGATCCTTGATCTTCGGGGAGTGCTGAACACGGCTGATGTGCCTTTCCTCGCTCCCTGGCTCAAGATCACATCCTATCTGGGCTCCCCTTTGACCTAGGGACCGGACCTTCCCTCTTCACATTCTTCCTCCCGTCCCAAGCCCAGGCTCCTCCGCTCCCAGCCTTTCCAGTCTGCCTTCCAGTCTCCGGACTATGGACTCTCAGACCCAAATGTCAGTCCCGGGGGCCCTCTGCACAGTCCAGCAAACAAAGGAAGCCTTTCTGACACCAATCTCATCATCTTCCCCCTCAAACCACCCTCCCTCCGTGGATGGCCACACCACCTTCCACGTCACCCTCGCCTATACCTTGGACCTGCCAAGTCTTTGTCAATTCTGCTCCCACAATCCCTCTCCCCTGGCCTCTCCCTTCTCCAGTCCCACTGAGATCGCCCTACGACTAAACCCTTATTCCTTTCGGCCTGGACCATAACAATGGCCCCTCTCGACCTTGTCAGCTTTCTCCCATGTGTGCAAACGTGCCAACTGGATCCCTGAGCCCCACAGGCCGCCACACAAACTCTTCAGCCTGGCATTGTGGGGCCTTCCGTGGACACTGCTTGTCCTGTCTCCTCTCAGCTCTCCATAAGGTCACCAGGAGCCCCTCATTTCTAAAACAGACTTGGTTGAACCTCTCACAGTTGCCACCCGCTCTGATTCCAACTGAAAATGACCTGACCCATTCAAACATCACCGTACTGTTGCCGAGTCTGCAATTTAGGACAAACCGCACTTCCTTGCCCACGTGTCTTCTCTCTCTTCTCCCCCTCCTCCATTAAATCACTAGCCATTTGAGGGCAGACACTGAATGAATTCTTCTCTCATTACTCTGGAGACCCTATGTATCCATTCCCCTCCACCCTGCCCTCTTCCTCTCGACATTCCCTCCCCGAAGCGAAGGCTCCAAATTCTCTCCCATCCAGGCCTCTGAACCACATCGGTCTTCGGGGCCGTCCACGTGTCCTAAGCTCAGCCGATGCACTTGCTCCTCCCTTTGCGGCCCCAGGACTCCCTGAGGATCGATTCTCCCAGGCTTGGGGTTCTCCTTTATCCTTCCATCTCTATTTCTGTGACATCTCTCACATGCGGAACTTCTCTAAATCCTCAAGCATCAAACGGGCTGTGTCCACAAGGTGCTTGGCTGACCTGAACAGACCACAACTCACGTCAACGATGGGATGACGGTGCTGTTTCCCGCTGCCGCTGCCCCTCCTCAGGCAGGAGCCCTGGCACACAGCCGCCAGGGCACCGTCAGCATGTCTGGGCACTCTGCTGGCCACTCCTGCATCTGTCTGGCCTCCACAGCCCTCTTCAATCTTGCACGGTTCTCGCCCTGCAGGCTCACTCTGCACTGTACACACAGGGGACCACTTCGGTCCTCCCTGCCCCCAAGCCTTCCCTCATTCTTCAACCTGTGCCTGGATGGGTCCACGACACTGGTCACTCTATTCCTGCCCCCTTCCCTAGAGCCTTAGCCCGCCTGTTGAGCTCAGCCTTCTCTATACTCCCTCCCTGCTCCAGCACTCTGCAGAGCAGGCTAGCCTCCTCCGAGCCAGCCTCCAGCCTTCCCCGGGTCTCGCTGAGCTAAGCAGGAATGCCAGTCTGGAGAGAGACGTTTCATGCAGGAGCCAGGCTCCATCACCTAGAAAACAGCTCATTTCTTCCCAGGCTGAATGTGTAGGCCTCTTCTCTGCCCCTCACCCCTCACCCCTCACAGCTGCTCCCTGGAGCCAATTCTTCTCACCCTGAAAGCTCCAGAATGCCCCCCCGCTTGGGGAGCTGCTCTCCACACCAACAGTGCCCAGTGCAACCGCCCTCACCCATCTCTCTCCAGTTGATCCTCCACAGAGACCGCCTGAGCGAGCTTCCCTGAGCTTTATATTTAAAAATAGCTTTACAGAGCTATTGACTCGTCCTTTCTCTACACAAAAAAACCCCAGTGGCTCCTTGGTGCCTACCAGATAAAATACAACACACGGTGCCGGCATTCAAGGTCTTCCCCCACCTTCCTCAAGCCCATGCCACTCCCCCCTTCAGATGATGCGTTCCTGCCAAACTGTATGACTGCCAACTTTGTCCCTCGCCCTGCCCCTGTGCCATCCCACTCTATCTGCTAAATCCCTGCCCTTCTGCCAGGGCCTCACTGGGATGCCACTGGCCTGCTGCCCTGGGCTGAGTCCCAGCGGCACTCTGGCTGTCCTCTGCCCCCACCACATCCTACCTCCCAGCATGCTCTTCTTTGGGTGCATGCCACACTGCCCCATTTGACTATCATCTTCTTGAGAACAGGGACATCTCTGCAACCCCAGGGCCCAGAACAGTATGTGCACACAGCAGGTGCTTAATTATTGGGTGAGGAAGTCAATTCACCAAGCTCTGGAATGCACTGGCCTTTCCCATAATGCAAATAGATTTAAATGGTGCACTGAGTGTGTCTGCCCTAAGAGAAGCTGCACCGGCTCTGGAATCAGAAGCCCTCAGCTTAAATCTCCCTGGGCCCTGAAGCAAGTCACTTGCTTCCCACATCTGGGCCCAGGCATCAGACTCACGGGTCCCTAAGGTGGGAGCGGACCATCCCGAAGGGCTCCAGACTCCTTTCAGGCTGGGTTTCAGAGCCAAGGTCTGCAGGAGCAGAGGCTGGGCTCCGAGCAAGCCCGAGCCCCCGGAGACTGTGCCTCGTCAAGACCATCCACAAAGCCTCACATCTCAACGGAACGCCAGCTGCAGCCTTACAGCCAACAAGCCGCTTCAGTGGAGGACAGCATCAGACTCGATAACAGCCTCAGAAAACATCAGTGCCTGGGCCCTGAAGATCAAAGCCAGGGCAGAGCGACCGTTCCACCCGGGTCCCACGCAGGCCTCCGGGCGCAGGCCTCCAGGCGCAGGGCTTGCTCTGGTCCAGGGGCTCTTCCTGGGCCAGCCTCATATGTACTGCTAAGTCTACACAGCAGCTCCCCAACCCAGGCAGTAACAGCAGGTGCACCAAGCCTCCAGGTGGGGCCAAAACAGATGACGCCCCCCCCCCACGCCAACCACCCTGGGAACAGCTACCACCTGATCACAGGGAGAGCCAATGGCCTACAAAGAGGGCGAGACAGAATCACCTCCTGGATTTCCACACCCCAAGAGACATGTTCAGATAAAATGTCCTGCACACGTACACACGCAGACACAGACACACACACAGACGTGCACACGCACACACACGCACACACACAGACACACACACAGACACAGACGCACACACACACAGACGCGCACACACAGACGCACAGACACAGATGCGCGCGCACACACACAGACGCACACACACACAGATGTGCACACTCGCGCGCACACACACGCACACACACGCAGACACACACACACATACTCACAGACGCACACCTACACACACAGACACTGACACAGACACAGACACACAGACACAGACACACACACACCCCCTCTTACCTTATTCCTATTGGGTGGAAACTTCAAAAAACGTAGTACCACACAACGCTATTAAAAAGAAAAACATAATTAGTATTTTCTTAAAAAACAATTAAAAATCATGAACCAAGCTGGTCACAACCAGTCAGAGCACAGGTATTGGCCAGGTGAACTGTGGCAGAGACAAACAGCCCCCACACCACAACCCCCCCCCCAAAAAAATTTCTGGGTTGTCAAAGACTTGAGAATGGTCTCTAACTTTCAGGAAGAGAATGACAAGAGGAGGGAAAAAGACAGCGTCGTGAAGATAAACACGGAGAAAACAGCTATATTTGAACTTTGGAAAATGTTTAGAAGCATTCCCAGCAGATCGAGTTCCACAAGGTAACCTGGTCATTCTTTTCCAGGACCTGTGTGTGCAGATAGGTTTTTCCTTTCAAAGGTAGCGCAGTTAGGAAGAAGCCTGTAGATTCTTCCCAGAAAAATGAAAGCTCCAAATCTATCAATGTTAACAGTAAAACAGAACAGAGAGAGAGAGAGAAATCAAATTTCCAAGCAACTTCTCAGGAAGCAAGCTCCCTAAGGGCAGGGATTGCTTTGCTGGGGTCCGCACCCAGACCCAGCCTCCTCCTCCAACAACACAGGCTTCACAAAGACTGGCAAGCAAACACTCGTCCTCCCTCCCCCTACACCCAGGGCATCACTCACTCACTCACAGGGTGTGTGTCCCTTGTCTCTTCCTTCCCTGTCTGCCCATCCATCCATCCATCCCTGAATCCCTCCTGCTTCCGTCAAGGCTCCCAAACGGCAGCAGCCCCTCCTCCCCAGGCCTGCAGAGGCAGGGCAGGGTTCAGACTCAGTCGAGCTCACCTGCTTCCAATGGACAACCCTGCCCTCCCTAGAACCCATAGCGATGCTGACCCCCTCTCTGAGGACAGGGCTTGCTGGGCCTTCAGCTTTCATCCTCAGGGCCCAGCACAAGGCCGGGTCTATGGCGGGCTCCTAATAAACGATGCTTGGATGAAGGAGGCTCACTTGGAGGCCAACCACTGGAATACTGCCCAAGGCCTTAGGAGAAGGAAACCAACAGCTCACTATGCCAGGAAGTGAATGAAGTGCCCGGAGTGCCCTGGCCAATGACAGCACGGCCATGGAGACTATTAGGATGGAAATAAGAGCCTTAATTATCACTCAAAGACCACTTCTGCTTCCCAAATATCTGAGCTGATGATTTTCAGGAATGCCATCAAAAGAAGAAAAATCAGGCTTTCCAGAGACTTTACTTCATAACATATTTCACTTCACAATATTAAAAAAAAAATCACACTAAAAGCCTTCAACCACAAGTAGTTGAAAATGGGATGCCAGTGCACATGCGCCCCAAGGAGGTGAAGCCCAGATGAAGGCCGTGTGTGCACTAACCCCGGGAGAACAGCAAAGAACCAGGGACAAAGCTGGGACAGCGGCACGTAAATGTAGGAAGCGTTGTGGAGATGTATGAACGGATGCAAAACGGAGCAGGCAGAACCCGGAAAACAATCTATGTGAGGGCAGCTGGTGGTGCAGTGGACTAAGTGTCAAGCCTGGGGTCAAGAAGGCTCGAATTCAAATCCAGCCTCAGACACTTACTAGCTGGGTGACCCTGGGCAAATCACTTCACTGGTTTGCCTCAGTTTCCTCATCTGTAAAATAGGGATCATCACAGCATCTACCTTCTAGGATGGCTGTGAGGACTAAATGAGACAGTATTTATAAAGAGCTTAGCCCAGTGCCTGGCCCACAGTAGACGCTTTATAAAAGTTAGCTGTCATTGTTACTGGTGGTGGAGGTCTTACATAAGGACTACATGATATGTACAAAACCACCCCACCAGTGTAAATGGGACAACAACAACAGATAATGACCAAGCCAGGCGCCAAAGGAGACAAGAGAAGGGGACTACTTCTCAATGGGGAGGGGAGCTGCTGCATATAACGAACAAACTTTTTCAAGGGGCGTTTAGTCTTCTTGGACTGCTATCTCCTTCTCTTTCTTCTTTCCCGTAAGGACCGCTCTCTGCTTCAGGGGTGCTGGGGTAGAAACAAAAGATATCAATAAAAATGTGTAAAAGAAACAGAGACCACGACTGAAGTGTGTCATGTCAGGGACAGGAAAAGAACCTGCCAGCTGCTGTCACAGGAAAGTCCCTGCGCTGGCGCAACGTCCTGAGGCCTCCCTGACGCCCCGCCACCCTCACCCTCCAACATCCCAGAGCAGCTCCAGGCTCAGGCCAGACAGTAAGTCACGCAAATGAGGACAACCAGCATGCTGATAATAACTACAAGGAATTATCAAACATTAACAAACACTAGAAGCCTAAAAACCGGTTCGTTTCTCCCATGACTCTGTGGTCTAGGTGTCTGCGGGCCAAAGCAGCAGATTGAGCTCTGACCCTTGAGCCTTCGGATCTCCATGTAAAATCGAGGGGGAGGGGAGGAGTGAGGCCTGGGCCTCCATGTCCCCTGAGGTAAGGACCTTCCCGGGTCCTCAACAACGTCGTCTCAGAGCTCCAAGCGGCCTGGCTGGGGACTGGCAGGACTGCTGGGCCCACAGCCAGGGCAATGGGGGGGACCCGCCCCCACCGCAGGTGCTCTGCAAACACTGGATAACTTGAATTGTAACTCCCCCAACTCCAAGAGTGGATATTGTTGCCTATTAAAAGGAGCCTTGAATTTAACTGAGGCAACTAGGTAGCACAACGGACAGAGCACTGGCCTTGGAGTCGGCAAGACCAGAGTTCACACACTGCCACGTGACCCTGGACCAGTCATTTAAGTCCCAGAGCCCCACTTCCCTCATTTGTAAGATGGGCATCGAAGGTTGGAGAAGCCAGTGAGATAACACAGGCAACATGTTTTGCAAACCTTAATATGCTATAGGAATGTGAAATAGGACGCCTTTTGTATCTGTACTGGAACGTAAGCTCCACGCAGGCAGGGCCTTTGTCCCACTCCTAGAATCTTCGGTGCTCAGCGCATACGGTGCATGGCACACAGTGAGCCCTCAATCAATGCTTGCTGACTTCACAGACTTTAATACTAGGGATCAAAACTGAATCAAACAATGCAGACTTGGATTAGAGTTGAAACAACAGCTAACACCCACTACAGATGAGAAACATTCCTCAAGCCCAAAGCTTCCCCGTGCACAAACGCTTGCTCCCGGTCCAGGAGCCCCACTCTATAAAGGACAAAGAAAGCCCAGTCCTGGCTCTGCTCAAGGTCCTGCCCTGCCCTGCCACGCCTCACCCCAGGCTCCGGATTCTGGGTGGGGAGTTCCTCCTGCAGCGCTTCCAATCAGCCCCTCAGCATTTATTAGGCACCCAGCATCCACTGATTACATTTGGGACTGAGACAAAAAGAAAACCCCTCAGTTCCCCATTGCCCCCCACGCAGGGCTCACGTGTCCACAAATGCACAAACCCAAAACATCAACAAGCTAAGGGGTGGCTGGGGGGGGGGGATTCAGGAGGCTTGGGATCCTTGGAGGCAGAGGTAAGAGAACAGAATGGAAGGACTCTGGTGTCATGGACAACCAGCTTGGACAGGGAGGCAGGAGCCAGGTGGTAGTGGGTCACAGTAACTCCATGACTAAGGGAAGGGCGTGGTCCCTAGTATCAGGAATAACCAGCTGGCAGCTGCACGGCAGATGGTTAGGAAGAACAGGGACGGGAGGCCCAGAGACCGGGAGGACCGACTGAAGTCAGGCAGGAGCAGGTGCGTCTGAGTGAGAGGGGCAGGTGGGAGAAGCACTCGGAGGAGGAGGACGCAAACCCAACACCTCCCAGGGACGTCTGTGAGGGGCGGGGCACGTGGCCAGGCACAGGAAGGAATCGTGGAAATGAAGACTGGCACGAAGAGCCACAGGGCAAGAAGCCGTGGACCTCAGAGGCCCCCTCGGGCCTCCTGGGGCATCTGGAGACATGGCCAACTCCGGTAACTGTTACAACTTGGTTAAATTCGGTTTCACATAAGATCCTTTTTTATTCTTTGCACACCAAAATGTTCGTGTTTGCTCACAGTTGTTTGTTTGATTCATAATAAAAAAGACAATGTAAAAGGAGAAAGAGAACATGAAGCAAGTGGATCAAGAAAAACCACTTGTTCTGCAGACTAGAACAGAGGAGGGAGAGGAGGAGACAGCGGGGCGGGGCTTGAAAGGCGGGTCAGGGTTAGGCCTCTCTCTTCTCAGTAAAAGCTGATGGAGGGAAGAGCCCTTCTGGGATGCTCCTGTAAGTCAATGACAGAAGGAGAGATGGCCCAGGGGTGAGGGGCCAGTTAAAATGACTTCCCAGGAATGTGTCCTAGATCCCAGTGGCCCAGCTACAGGGCTTCCTCTTCCTCCCCCCTAACCTCCCCCCACCCCCGGCCCGGCCTGGCAGCTCCAGAGCAGGAGTGCAAAGGAGAAGGGGGAAAAGAATTCATGAGTAAGGGTTAGCAAGGCCTATACAGCAACTGAACAATCAGTCATTTACTAAGCACCTACTATGTGCCAAACCCTGTGCTAAGTGCTGCAGATACAAGTGCGTCCTTCCTTTAAAGGAGCTAACAGTCCAACGTACATAAACACACGGGCAATCAATATAAAGATAACAAATTCAAAGGTATTGACCGCGAGGTCGGCTGGCAAGGTGGGCACGAGTTGGGGGGCAGAAGGCAGTGCTGAAGCTATATCCTAAGAGAGCTGGGGGATTCCCTAAGTTTGAAGTGAGGAAGAAGGGCGTGCCAGACGTGCAGAGACTCAGAGACAGGGAGGGATGGATAGAGTGCGGCTGGACGCGGGAAGAGGAGTAGCATACCACAAGGCTGGAAAGCATCTTAAAACCCAGACGGGAGCGGTTTCAATTTTATCCTTAAGCCTGGAAGGAGGCGGAAGTGTGTGGAGCAGGGGTGGCTGATCCATCTGCACTCCGGCAGCCCGGACTGCTGGCCCGAAGAGAAGACTTAAGGCAGGGAAGCTGACTGGGAGGCCACCTCTAGGGTTAATCCTGGGACAGAGAGAGACAGGGGCAATCCCACGGGCAGCTGGGTTTAAAGTCAGCGGCCTACCTCGAGAGTGCAGACTCCCGAAGGTAGCAGGCAAGCCGTCAGAGCCACAACGTGGTGGATGTCTGTGGAGTGTTTGCTGTGCAGACGAACTGGCTTTAGGAAGAGGCATCTCACCTCAATCCCTTATGCTGGAACATAAACGCTCGCTCCCCCAGAGGATGAGGATAGCAGCCTAAGAAAAAACTGACCCCAAATCCCACCCAATAAACTAGCAAAGATGGCAAAGGGCCACAGGAAGACAGGCCGACGAATACCCAGTTGTGGGATGGAAGCACTACTAGGGTTAGCTTTAGGACCTGAGCTCAGATAGATCAAAGGTGCTCTGGTGGGGCTGGACTTGCACACCAAGCCCTGAACCCTCCGACAATCAAGGGAGATCCCACCCCAGGGCACAGGAAGGCAAAGGCAGAAAGAAAAATGCCTCGCAAAACTGTATGAAATAGCAAAGACCCAGAATAAGGGGCTTCTCATCAACTGGGGAACGGCCACTGGAGGTCTCCAGGGGAACTCTGGAACTCCGCTCAAAGCTGGAAGGGACCCCAAGGGCCAGCTGGCGTACCACTCTCATTTTCCCCCATGCCTGCCCGCTGTCAGAAAGAATGGTTAAGGGCAATTCAGACATACAAGAGCCTGGAGAAGAAGAGTAGGTGCAGGGGGAGGGGGCTGATTCGGCCCTGCGGATGCCGTGAAGACAGAAGGCACCAGTCAAATGAGGTAGAAAGGGACTGCGGTGGGGGACAGTCGGCATCTGAACATGAGGCAGATGCTTGCTCCCTGATCTCTCCGTGAGCAACAAGACAGAACCGGTTGGGGACGTGGCGTGGCAGGAACCTTGTAAGGAAATGACCACTTTATCTTGGCATTCAGACAAAAGCATTTAGAACAGCCCTTTTTGTAGCAGCAAGAACTGGAAATGAGGTGGGTGCCCATCCAGGGGGGTGACAGCTGAACAAACTGGTCAGAAATGTAAGGGAATGTGACTGGGCCATAAGAAATAACACACACGGGGAATTCAAAGAAACCAGGCGAGACTTAGATGAACTGAGGCACAGTGAGGCAAATACACCAAGAAAACAACTTCTGTAACAATGATAAAATGGGAAGAAAATCTTGGGAACTCTGATCAATGCAATCAATGACGCCTCTCCATTCAGAAGAGAGAGGGCCAGCACTAAGCCAATGTGCTTCGCTTGACTGACCTTCTGGTATTCTGTGAGGGTTCCCCGATGGGGCAAGGGAGGGGGAAGGGGAATTGGGGAGTGAATAAAACATTTCAAAAAACTAGTCAATGGATTGTATTGTGGAATAATACCCTGACCAATTATATAACACTGCTGTGTTGTTTCTGCAGCGCTTAATATTTCTAAGAATGGCTCACATGTCCAAAGGTTATAATTCCTTCTGATACAAAACTGTGGCTCCCAATGGGGAAATTTCTTCTGTCTTCAGCCCGGGAAAGGGCTGCTTCATTAGATGAGGCATAATTGTGATTGAAAAAAAGAAAGAAAGAAACTCAGTCTATGAGCGGAAAAACTGCACACGGGTCACTAAGTCCCCAGGAGATACTGGTGTGATACCAACGTTTGTGTAAAGTAGAAAGAAAATGGGTGATTCCCAGTGATTCGAACAATGCTAAGAAAGGCTTAAAGAAACCCGGGGGGGTTATATAGGGAACTCTTGTCACCCTCCAATTTTGTTCAAAAGAAGAAAGGGACAAATGCCAAAGAGTCAAAATAATCCTGAACAACAGCAACAGGACCGTATCTGGAAGGCCCAAAATGATTGGAAGCCTGTGGGAAATGCTCAAGACCCCAACAGAAAGAGACAAGGCCAACCCCTAAAGAAGACAGGCCAGAAAGTGGAACCACCCCAAGCCTGGGGCTTCAAAGGGGCCCACTGGAGAGAGGACAACCAAAACCCCCTGGGAGCAAGCATTCAACCCAAGGGTGGGGAGAAGGGAGGAGGTGGGAGGAGAAGGAAAAAGCACACTGTTCACTTGGCCTGAATTTAAGATCTGGGCTCAAATTTTAAGGAAGTCGGAGATAAACTGGAGATAAACTGGAGAGCGGCCAGAACAATGGATTTGCTATCCCACCAGACCAGAGGGATTAAGGATCTCAGAATGTTTAGCCTGAAGGACAGACTTAAGGGGGACACGCTAAATTTGCAAGTTGGAGCAGGTTGGCCCGCCTCCAGTCTCTCGCTCTCAGCCACCAAGTGGCTTTCGCTCCCCTGCTCCCAAATCCCAGGGGCTCCCTGAGGCCCCGAAGGGTCAGCGCCTGGCCCCTCGTCCAGTCTTCTCCCACCTAACTCGTCCCCGAGTATTCTCAGTATTCTCTCCCTTCATTTCTTGGCTCTGGGAACCTTCTCTGGCCCCCTTCCGTGCCCCTGACTGCCCTGCAGGCCCAGCTCAGAGCCCACCCTCAACAGGAGGCCTCCCCTCCAACTGATGACACCAGGGCTGCACGTTGTCTCCCCCGTGCTCCTGTGAGCTCCCCAGAGCACAGCACCGTGCTTGGTACACAGTAGGCCTGCTTCATGCTCGCTGACTGCCTGACCTCACAAGGCAGGAGCAGGCACATGGAAGCGGTGGGGGACACAAAGAAAGGCAAAGCCAGTCCCTGGCCTGAGCTCACAGTCCAATGGGAAGGCAGGCTCTGCGCTCCCTCCGTCCGGAGAGAAGCCAAGCAATCCAGGAGCAGAACGGCCACAATGACGCTCCCATCAGTGGCTGTGCTAGTGCATGGAATGCGCAGCACCTCGGGGGACCTCCGAGGCCAGCTGTTAGAGGTGCGGAGACTGAGGCTCAGAGAGGTCCTGTGATTTGCCCAAGGTCACTCCTGCCATGGCCATCAGACGTGGGATCTGAACCCAACTCTCAGACACCAGTAAGGACACTTGTGAGAGGTGCCTGGGCCACAAGGTGGCTCCTCGCCCAGGGTCGCAGGGCCAGGATGAGCCCAAGATGGGACTCAGACCCAAGTCTTGTTGACTCTTGGACCAGCTCTGCACCAGGAGCGTTCCCCCAAGGTCGCCCCCACACTCCCCCACACCCCAGCACACTCTCTTACTGGGGATGTCACGGAGAGAGCTCTTGTTCAGGAACGGGTTGGCCTAAGTCAGCCACACTCAAAGTGCGGTCCAGGGACCCTGGGCATGCCCAAGGCCCTTTCCAGGGGGTTCTAGGGGTCAAAATTATTTTATAATAATACTAAGATGCTTTCATTTCTAATTATCAATAAATATAGATAGGTATAACCCACATAAACAAAAGCTCTTGGAGGGCCTAAAGGGGTCCTGAGACCATAACATTTGAGAACCACTGTACTAGATGATTCCCAAGTTACGTTTCAACTCTCAGACTGTGTGTATCCGTATACGTAATTTAGATTAATTCTACCTCAAGGTCCCTCCCAAAAAACTCACAAGTAATCTCAGAGTCATCCTTAATAAACTAGGCTAAAGACTAGTACTTCAAGACTAGAGATGTCAAATTGTTACAATTTTCCAAAAGGGCATACTACCAGAGGAAATCCATATACATTTAACAGGAGTAATTCCAGACGAGGACATCAAGTGGGTGATTTGCTATCCCTCCCAAAGAACTGCTGGATCAGGAAAGGCCCTTCCCTGCTCCAGAGAGCACAGGAAGCGTGACCCAAGCCTCTAGCTTCGTCGGTTCCATCTCCGTCCTACCAAAGCCGCCAGCTCCGTCCCACAGCTGACCTGCCCAGGTGCACACAGCTCCAAAGTCTTCTAACTTGCAGATACAGATCCTCATCAATCAATCACCAAGCATTTATTAATCACTTACTATGGGCTACTGCCCCGCTGGGCCCCAGGACACAGAAACAAGGAAAGGACTCATCCCAGCTCACAAGCTCAAGCTCACATTCTAACAGGGCAGACAGCAGCACGAATGTCAGAAGACACAAAATAAATCCAAGGAGATAAAAAGAGGCTGAATTTCAGCGAAGCGTCTGAAAGTCTCTCACGACATCATTAGCACATAAAACGGCAAAGTGTGAGGTAAGACAACTGCTCGGTGTGAGACTCTGGGCACAGGACGAGACATGGCCAAATGGAGATCTCAAAGCCCCTATTCTCAGAACATTTTCTCATCAGTGACTCACTTGGACAAAGCCAGAGGAGACAGAACGATCCTATCTCTGTGGTTGTCAAAAACCAAAGATGAGTAAGAGCACGCTGGGTCACGGCCAGCCCCGAGAGAGAGAGCCGGAGGGGAGGCTGAGTCCTCTGTTCTGGTACCAGGTCAGGACGACAGAGCCTGGCAGGGCCAAAGAAGCACCCGTCAAGGGGAGCCCTGGCTATGGCCCGGCCCAGTCCAGAGGGTTCGGGGCCACTGGCCCCCGTGTGTGCCGGAGAAACACCCACAAACCAATGTGTCTGGAGAAGTGACCGGGTCAGGCCGTCCATCCAGGGTAGAGCGGAGCCCCCCAGCCAGGAAGACACAGGGACCCCACCCACGCCACACGCCGGCTGGCATTCCCAACTCTCAGTCTTTCCTGCTGGGCAGGCCCTGCCCAAGCAGGGCGGGCACAGACACAGCCTTAGAGAACCCTCCGTGGCAGTGACGGGGGACCTGCCCCAGCCGTCTTCGCGGGCCAAGAGAGCTCTCCATCGGCTCCAGAGGCAGAACTAGGGGCCCTACGGAGAGCTCCAGTGGATTCTTGTGAGGTAGTGAGCTGCCTGTCATAGGAAGTATTCGAGCTCTAGCTCTGTCTCTCTCCCCCTCCCCCCTCCTCTCTGTCTCTGTCTCCACCGCCCAGGGGACACCCCAAGTCCTCCGCTGGCCCCAGGGGCTGGAAGGGGAAGCAGATCACCCCGCCTCCCGCTCCCACACCACCGGCTCCCCGGCCCTCATCTCCGGCCGCCGCGCGGCGCCCGCGAGGTGGGCCAAGCTCTACGGTGGGTCACAATGGGGATGATGCCCCCCCCCACCCCCGGGCCAAGGAGAAGGGGGGGGGCCGATCCCGCCCCGCCCCCAGGCCGGACCACGGGCCCTCCGGACAGCGGCCTGCTCCGAGCCCCGGGCTGGAGGTCAGGGCAGGCCGGGGGCGGGGGCTCCCGAGTCGGCGAGGGGCCTCCAGGGGGATCGGGGGACGCCGGGGGTCAGGGGTCAAAGGCCGGGCCTCACCTGCGCGTGCGCTACGACCAGGCTCTTGTTGCCCTCCCCGTGGTACGTCCATTCATTCTCGTCCATCTTGGCCGCGTCCATGCCCCGGCTCCGGTCCCACCTCAGGCTGGACTCGGCCCCGGCCCCGGCCCCGGCCCTGGACGCCTGCCCTCGGCCTGCGCCCGGCCCCGGCCCCGGCCCCCGGCTCCGTCACCGCCGGCTTCGGGGAGCGACTGTCACCGGCTCGACACGACAGGGCGCGACGGGCCCCCGCCCGGAAGTGACGCCAAGCCGCCGGCGCGTGCGGGCTGCGTGAGGCCTACGTACTTCCGCCCGGCGGGGTGGGAGGAACCTAGGCTGACGGCCATCTTGACTGCTGGCAAGGCGGGCCCAGGATCGGGCAGGAAAAGAGGCTTCCGGTTCCGGCGGCGCATGCGCCTCGAGGGCCCCCCCGGCATCCGGGGACTGGACCGGCCTTCCGCGCCTGCGCCTACGCCTACGCCTGCCCCCACGCCTGCGCCTACGCCTGCCCCCGCGCCTGCGCCTACGCCTGCCCCCGCGCCTGCGCCGTGCGTGCTCGGCCGGGGACTGCGCGCAGGGCAGGCATCTCCCAGTCATCAAGCCTCTCCCGGCCTGGCGGGGATGGGAGGCGGGAGGTGGCCGAGAGAACGGAAAGCAGAAGATGGCGCACTGTGTGGAAGGAACGAAGAGAAGGCCCGGGAAGCTAGGGCCAGGCTACGAAGAGACTCCATTTCATCCTAGAGGCAACAGATAGGGAGTCATGGGACCTTCTTGAGCAGGAGAGTGACTGCGTGAGAGCAGAGCTTGAGGAGGAAGGTCAAGGATTATTTATTGTGATCTTATCCCTGAGGCCCTTTAGCAAAAGGTGGATTCTTTCGGTATCTCCTGAGCAGGACACGTGTGAAAGGACCTCGTCCAAGAAACCAGGCGTGGATGACCAGATGACTGGTGCATGGCCTGGGCTCACAGATTTAGGGTTGGAAAGGCCCCTCGAAATCATCGAGGCTTAGCTCCCATTTTACAGATAAGGAAAGTGAGGCCCAGAGAGGCATGGTTGGGTTAGATACAACATAGGCTCATAGATGTACTTCTGGGAGGACATAAAGAGGTCACCTAGGCCAGCCCCATTGCTTTACTGATGTCCCTTAGACATGACAATCCACTTATCTCAAAACAAAACTCGTTATCTTCCTTCCCAGCCCTCCCTAACCTCCATATGAGGGATAACCCATTATCTGCCAAGCCCTGGCAATTCTGCCTCTTCTGATTTGTCTTCACTTTCATCTCTGCAACATCTCTCATCCTTTTCACCTCTCCACCATCTCTTGTCACTTTC